TGCTTCAGAGAAGTCAGTTATTAGTTCAGTGTTCAAAGCTTGCAGAGAAGCCCGAATTGCAAAGTAATTTGTATGAAATATCCTGTAATGTTTTACTTTTGAACTATTGCTTTCCACATTTTGCATATTTTCTTCTTGCAATCAAATCGTTTTTCGTCCCATAGTTTAAGGCTGTGCTTTTATGGGCAACCAAAACTGGGGTGTTCATAAGAACTGTACTGTTACTCATCTGTTCTTGGAAAGTTAGCACTGCACAGGGAACTCCATGGCAAAAATCTGTATTTTATCATACTGATGGCATGATCTTGTCCAAGTTATTTAACTTCTCCAGTATTAGATTCCTCATCTATTAACATGTAGATGACTTCTGAAGGTCAGTCACTATGAAGACTAAAATTTTTAGCATCTAGAAAGTGACTAAACAGTATCTGGCATATCACTACTTGACAAAAATTATTATCATTAACACATACATCATGAAAAATGAATGATTACATTAAAACATATCACTTAGAATAACAACAGTCAAAAAACACTAAACAGACACTTGCTACTAAAAAATGTAATCTCTGCATGAAATTGTGCAAATTCTCTCTAAGCAAATCAACCATGCTAATAGACATAAATTAGATATTTACAAAATGCTAGAATATCAAATTAAATAACCAAAGAATAAAATTTTGCCAATTCTAAATTACTAAATCGGAATTTATTTCATGTTGAATAAAGGTAAACTGAAGTTTATTTTCATGATTAAAAAAAAGAGGGGCAAATGTATGAGGGTACTAACAGCTATTTCATCATAAATCATCCAATGTCTACTTGTTTAAGACAAATGGACTGCAAAAGGCATATATTTGAAAACATAATTAAAGTTTTAGAAGATCCTTAATCAACCTTTCTAACTTATACTACTGTGCAAAGAAGCTGTATCCAAACAACTCTGATCAAAACTTAAAATTGAACCGGGCATTGGTGGCTTATGCCTGTAATCCTAGCTACTCAGGAGGCAGAGATCAGGAGGACTACAGTTTGAAGCCAGGCCAGGCAAAGAGTTCTCAAGACCCTATCTTGAAAAAGCCTTCACAAAAAGGCCTGGTGGAGTGGCTCCAGGTGAAAGCCCTGAGTTCAAGCCCCAGTGCCACAAAAAACCATCAACAACAACAACAAAATGATACTGAAGTTTCTACTAGGCAGCAACTGTAAGTAGCCAAAAGAAATACAACTCATTTTTTTTCTTGAAAATGCATGTTAATATATGCACAATACTCCCAGATGACTTTTCCCCAGTCATCCTAATTAGTGAAGTTTTACCATATGACTATTCTCTTTTGTTAAAACCATGAGAAACTCTGGCATTTAGGTATTCAGTAACACTTGGGACATTGCCCAGACTTAAAAAAAAATTACTTAAAGCATATGTTACACAAGCCTTTTATGAGGAACACTTCATTTCACTAAAGAGACAGGAAAAATTGGCCCGATTTTCTTTATCAACTCCTTGAATGTTTTGCTAATGTCTTGATAGTAAGTTTGTGAAAGATCCTCTAGAGCCAATTCAACCACTTTTACTATGTTAAAGTGTTTATAAATGTTAATGCTCACAAATGGATAAGAAGTCATCCATATCAAGAACATTACTATCTAAACTTTGAGAAAAATAAATGTTGATTAAAAAACCTAATTATATGATATAACATTTCCTCCACTAAAACTGATAAAAATTTAAGTGGCAGTATTTTTAAATTACTGGAAGTTAAGGATGAAGCACAAGATCAACCATTCTTACATTGAACTGGTTAGAATTACTGTCTGAGGAAAGACTGTCAGAGTTCATAAGATCGCAGTCATTGTACCGCGTTTAACCAAACTAAAGGCAATCAACAGCTCACTGCTAAACCTGTGATTCAGAATATTGATGTGTTACTTAGAACCCTATTTTTTAAAAGATAATTAAAACAGGATTTTTAAAGGATAAAGATGATGTGCTATTTAGTCAAACTAGTAAGAAAAAGAAGATAAATTAGATTTATTAAAACTGGCTTGAAGCAATGGGGAAAAATTAATATGTTTACTTTTACTAAAGGAAACAATATAATCTCTGGTGATCATTTCTTACTTATTTGGTATGAATATATTTGTGTATATATATGTTACAAAATATTTATTTTCTTCTGTTATCTCCTTGTAAGATGTATTGACTTTATATCATAGTAGTTAAGTATTAACATCTTAGTATTGAAGTAATAGAGTATCAGTGAGATGAGTGAATATTACATAAGGTCTTTGCACCTATTTCTGGAGAAAGAGTTAATGCATTTTCAATTGTACAAAGTAGCCACATCAGGTTAGGTGGAGGTATGGTCATGTTATTGTCTTCATTTGGAGTTCAGTATAGTTAACAAGATGTGCATGGGTACCAAGTTGATAAGGGGTGGACTTGTGTTAGTAAACTTCAAGTGTCAACTTGGCTACCCCAGGATACCAGATGCATGGTATCAAACATTATGCTAGATGTTCCCTTAGAGGTATTTTTTAGATGAGATTAATATTTAAAGCAGCAGACTTAGAGTTAAGGAGTTAATCTGATTACCCTCAATAACGTAGATGGAATTCATCAAATCAGCTGAAAGCCTAAATAGAAGTAAGAGTGGTCTCTCATCTGAGAAGAGAGAATTCTGCAGCATCAACACTTTATGGGTCTGCACAGATTAGCTTTATCCTTAGCATTTTGGACCTGACAGTCTCCATAATTACATGAGCCAGTTCCCTGAGATAAATCATTTCTCCCTGTGTACATATACATGCATCCTATTTGTTCTCTTCTCCAGAGAACCCTGATTAATACATAGCCCCATAATTAAGAGTTTGAACTCTGAATTCAGACTGACTAATAATGAATCTTGACTCTATAATGAACTAGTTGAGAGACCTGGGCAGATTTTGTAACTTCACTGAACCCGAGTCTCCTCATCTATAAAAGTGAAAAAGAAATATCAGTCTTTGCCTTACAGGATTGCTTTGAGGATTAAATAAATTTTCTACATGGAAAGTACATAGAAAAAGTGTGCTCTATGTGTTGGGCATTGTACAAGATTCTCAAAAATGTTAACTATTATTTCCAAGCTCTTTCTAATATAGCTAGAAAACAGGAATGAGATGGGTAGATTTTTTAAATTATAAGTTGTTTAGAAATCTATCGTTATAAGAAATATTCACGATGAAGAAAAAATATAACCAACAGGTTTTCAGATTTCAGTTTCTTAAATGTAATACCAATAATTAACATTTGAAAATATCTGATGTAAAAGTATGGCTTGCTTTATACAATAGCTATGTTCTTAAATAGAAGCCTGCCAATATATCTGAAAAATCATGTCACATGAAGCCAATCTAAGAAATCTAGGAAATGCTTTAAATGTGATATCTAACTTTTAATAGCTCATAGCACATTGCCTCTATTTTCATAACCTGTTCTCTGCCTTTCTTTATTTCTTGCAATTCCTCTCTTTCTTCCTGCTCATTACCCACATATACTCTTTCCCTATAAATCCATCCCTTTCTATGCATATATCTGCCAAATGTACATTATTTATGTTTTTGTTTATTGTATTTTGGTTTTACTAGAACAAAGCCTAGCTGAATATTTATATTATATTGGCTTGGGAAGGACTTTGTAATGTTGAAACAAAAGATGAAAACTATAAAGGAAAAAAAGAAATTATTACTTAAAAACTGAATACTTAATATATCTCCAGAAAGACAATAAAGGAAAATTAAAAGTGAATGAGAAATGCACAAAGAACATTTCTTATGTAGTGTCATGTATTTAATAGAAACAGTACTACTACTTTTTTGTAATTTATTATACTTTACATTAAACATCCACATAAATTATTCCATTTTAATTTTCTAACATTCATTTAAGGAAGCCAGATAACATAGTTTATCAATGTTGGCAGTAATGGTTTTTGGGGCCAGATAACACTTTGTTTTACACAACTACCTTGTCGAGCTGCACCCTTGACCTTTACCCATCAGAAACTATAGTTTCCACAACCTCCATTCCAATTGTGACAAACAAAAATGTCTCCAGATATTGTCCCCTTGTACAACAGAATTATCACCAGTTCAGAACCACTGGCAGAAAGAAACAGTATCTAACTTTTGAAAATTGAATAGGTGACAGTGTTTAAGTGGTATGTCCAACTATACTTTTCCTCTTAATGACCTACAAACTTGACAGTTATGGGATGACATGAATCATGAGTCACTTGACATGGATGCTCTGGGCAAAACACTAATCACACCTAATAAGCAAGCTGTAGTTTTTGTATGCCAACTATTTTACATTACAGTCATTTCTGAACTCATATTTTCCCAGCTGATTCAGTAATTTCTTCCCATAAAAGGAAAAATGCCATTATAAATTCTAAGTTAGAAATAAGCATTATAAGAATTCAGCTAGACATAAAACATATTTACCTAGTGCATGCCTCAGTTTTTCAAACCACATTCTATCTCAGTTTGTGTAAGATTTATGAAACAAGCTAGCTATCACTCATTAACTAGGCAGCTAATATGCCATTCAACCTTTATGATCTGTCTCTATCATGAACACGTAAGAACTGAAAACATTCTCTTTTTACAGACAGAAGCATCATAGCAGGAAAAAAATAGCCATATGCTAAAATTTAAGGGTGGAGTTGAAGATATTTTGATTATCTGACCAAAAGTCCTTCCAGTTATCTTGAGTTTCCATGGAGGCTTAGTAAGCATGCTCAATAGTTTACTAGTCTGCAGTCTTACTCAATGTAATAAAGAGCATTTCTTTTTTTACACATTATCACCTCCCCCCAGGTCTGAATTGGATGCTCATATTAATATTCCAAACATGAATACTTCACATAATTAGTCAACCACTATATCTAGTAGTGTTTACCTCTTTTCAAACTGCTTGTCAACAAAAGAAGGAAAAATGGAATTGTTCCTCATAGTACATTGCCATCTGTGTGCAGGCTGATATGATGGAAAGGAAATGTTTGAATATCAGAGGATCAGAGTTACGAACCATACCTTCCATGACATACACCAGTGACCCCACATCTCCTTCTTTGATGATACAACTGTCTTTGCCATATTCCACCGGGTACATACAATCCACAATCTCCTGGATCTGTGACAGCTCCAAGTTCTTCATGAAGTCATTGTCAAGGATAGCTTCCTTTATAAGATCCTTGGACCTATGGCAAGAGAAGGACAAGTTACTGACTCATCTGACAAGCTCTTTCATAGTTTGTGAGGCTGAATGGAACCATACAATGCTCTGGCACACGACAAATAGATTTTCTTTCTAGGAATCTACTTTCTTGTTTGGAATCCAATAATTTTCTGAAAGACCTGAGAACAAAGTAGTTCCATAGCTGCAGCAAAGGCACAGAGAAATTCTCCTTTAAGCAAACTATCATTTAATAAATAAATAAGTGACCAATAAATAAACAGAAATCATACTACTTCATTATATTTCAGAAATTTTTTAACCACAAAGACTGTGGGAAAATCAAAGGACAAACATTTGAAAATTGAAGTTTGTAATTTGGCTTAAGAATGAAAACAAATACAGAGGAAACTATTTTACTACATTTAAGTGCTATAAAAGGACCTCAGGCATGCATTTTACTCCACACGATTATAGAAAAAAGCAATTTGCTTACTTATTTTTGTGTTCCTTTGCCACTAGATTTTATGTTCTATATAGTCAGAGATCATTTTTGACCTGTTATCTGATACATGTCCAATTTCTGCTATTGTGCCAGTCACAGTATGGGTGATCTAGGAACATTTAGATAAAAATTTGGAAGAGCTGGATTCCTAATTAGCTGTTTGAAACAACTGGCAGAAATGTGACAGTTTTATAACTATATCTCATGCTTCCTTAGAGAATATTATTTCTTCAATCATCTTAATTTGAGATAAGGAGGTAGCTAAAACTGTATCAAACAAGTTATTTTAAATGGCACATAATTTGATTCTGGGATTAAACACAGGTCATCAGAGAAAAAATATGTATGAATTCTATAACTGGGGTTCAGTGATTAAACAGGAAAGTTTTGCAGAACTTAAAACATGATAATAATTTTATTCACTAAAGTAAGAAGTTCCGAGCCACTTATCAAGAATACAAAATTCAGAGGAAGAAACACTAAGAAATATTTTTGTATCATCAGACAAGTCAGAAACCAAATATGATGAAAGCCAAGTCCTTAGTAACACAGAATACTGAAAATTTTAATTGTGAAAAAACAAAACAGAAATTGGTCTTTGTCCATATTGACTCAGTAGGTGACTTTAAAGGAAATGACCTACAGTAGTAACTACTGATTAAATCTATCTCTGCCCATTTATGGGTGACTTTTCCTCTAGACCTCAGCTAAGCATCCTAGCCTTCATATATTATGTTTCCCAACTACTTGGTTTTAAATAATAAAAAATGTATATGAAATTGAAAACTATTAGAAAATTCATTATAGTAAACAACACCTAGAATGGACTGACACACTACAATTGGATCAATGTCCATGAAGAGTATTAATGGCAGGGTGGAAATGGTATGTTTAAGTGAAAAAACAAAATACACGATTGTTTTTAGGATAAGTATGTGTTTGATGAACTATGAAAAATATTTTGAAGTCCCATATACTTGGACCTAGACCTGTTACCTATAAAACTTGCATTACTTTTCTGAATTTAGTTTTTTATCATCTATAAAATGGTATTTAAGAAACTAACAACCTAACAGATTGATATGAGAAGACTAGTGACAGAATGAAATTTGTAAAGGATGGTGATAAAGGTGGTATCAGTACTAACTACAACAGCAGTAATATAAGGGGTGATCACAAAATATTTAATTGTGACATGAAACAATATCAAAAGGAAATAAACTTTTGACTTTGTTGCCTTTGATGACAAAATTATTTTTCCTTCTACATTTCCCTTTATACAGTTTTGTAGAATGAGCATGCTTTTCTATGTTAACATTTTTTCCTTGAAAAATAATTCATGAAACGTAATCGTGATTTAAGAAAATTTTCTCAAAAATCTATTGCCCATTTAATTATTACTGCTTGACCATATTGGCATACTCACTATGTCTTCAGTAAGTTTGATTTTGCATGGCTTGTAGTGGCAAGATTCTTCATGTCAGGAAAAGATGGTGATGCATGGCAAGTTGTTAAAAACTTCAAGACACTCTCAAGTTAAAAACTCCTATATGTGAGACTTAAGCTTCATGGTCTTTAGATACATGATTTTTGGTGCTCTTTCTTTTAAATTTCTACTTGCCAAAACTTTGTCATGAGACAAAAAGTTGCTCCTCTTCAGCCTTTAAAACAAGATGCAAAACTTGTCTCCAGCCATGATTTTCACGAGGTTTTCCTTCCTTAATTATCATCACTTCTGACCACAAGAATACCAGTGGCACTTTCATGCTGACCCCCAAGATCTGTTGTTCTATGATTATTTTTCTAAGCACAATTTTTTTTATCTTCAAGAAATTCATTTTAGTCAAATTGCATTATACTCTCTTTTTACTCAAACTTTTTAATATTATTTGGATCAGAGAAAGAGGCTATCCCACGACTTCACAGTTTCTAACATAATGACTAGATCGTAGCAACCCAGAACCCCAACTTGTTCAAGCAACAGGTGGCATCTTATCCTTTGGGAAATGCTAAAAGTGTTCCATTAAAGATCTAAGTCTTAGAAGTATGGTATGATTAAATATAAAGCCCTCTTGAAAGAAAATAATTAGCTCCATCCAAAGAAGGTTAAAGAAAGTCACTTTCCTTCTTCTCATAATAGTATTATTGACCTATATTATGAAGACATCAAAAAAGATGAAGCAACAAGCTCTAACATAATCCATTCAAATTATCTAAATTTTCCAAATGTTTGGCACAGAGTGCAGATGCATTTTGGGATACTTCAGCTTCTCAAATTTCATTTTAGATGGAGAGCATTTAATCTCTAGTTTCTGAAGAAATAAACTCAAGGTTTTTATATGCACCTGTGTCATAAACCAAATTGATCAGACTGAGGATGTAGCTCAGTGGTAGATTTGTTGGCTACATGCATGAGGCCCTGGGTTTGATCCCCAACATCACAAAAATACATAAATACATACACACACACATATACAAAAAACAAAACAAACTAATCAATACGGAACCTCTGAATTATTTATCCCCTCATACAGGTATTATCAAATAACATTTTTGTCAATTAAATCTCACAAATAATCTGTGTTTGCCTTCACAGCCAGATAGACACTGTGTACCTCTGTGTAGTATTACTCAAAGATGTTCTTGTTAGTGAGAAATGCCCAAATTCCTGTCTCTTCATGTACTTTTCCTTTTCTTTCTTTCCCAAGGAGATGTAGGAGCCTCAGGTCAACTCTCATTGCTCTCTACTTGCTCTGCCACACTGTAAACTGTAACAATCAGGGATCCAGCTACCTCTTCTTTGACTGTTTTTGTTCCCTCAAAGAAATAATATGACACTCACTGTAACTAAGACATGAAGCCCCATATAGACCTGTTGAACTGTATTAGCAGCACGGGAACTAGAGAAAGCTGATATCACAAGCACCAAAAGGTGTTTATCTTCTCTAAACTAGGGTACATATTTTAACAATGTTTTTTCAAAAATTCAACAGCCTATCTGGACTGGGAGGTGTAGGAAGCATGAAGATCTTGTTGGTTTTGATCATCCCTATCTACCTCTGTGTACAAATAATTGTTTAAAAATTACTTTTTCTTCTATGCCCCAAATATGTGACTTCTTAAATCCAAATACCCTTAAAGAAAATTTGGTTATTATCATCATTCAATTATCAGTCTCTAAAATGGCAGCATTGTTGAATGATGTGATTGTAAATTGTCTCTCAGATTGGTGTGGAAAGCCCTGGTTTGTAGCATTGACAATTTCCATGGTACAAACACTCCTACCATGGATCAAATTCAAGTTAATAAGAAGTTGACCTCCTTGCAATGTTCCTAATAATTTAATAATCAGTTCTTAAATAACCCAGTACAATTTGACTCTAACATACCCTAAGAATTTAGCATAATTTAACTTATGGATGCTTAAACCAATAAGATAAAATTCCCTTTCCTTAAAAATTTCATTAGGTGGTATAATGCCCACAGATAATTAAATGCCAGGAATAGCAATAGTTCTTTCAAGCTTTCAACCTCAGAAAAATGATTTGGAAAATCTACTCCCTAATTTACTTAATGCAGATAAAGTTCCTGAATAAACACAAAGAACATTTGAAAGAATTCTCTTTCTACAATATTTAGATAAAAATGGAAAATTCTAAGATGAGTATAAGAAAATATATACCTTCTTCTCAAACAATGGATCCACCATTGTTCACTGCTAATAAACAGACCCTCATTTGTTTTCTTAACCTAATAAAAGAATATTCTACATTGTGGTTACCATACAGTAAGCCAATAATATATAAGTGGCAGTAGTGTTATTTTGAGGAGTCTGGAAGGCAAGCTCATTTTTGGTGGACAGGAAGGCCTCCCTGAGCTGAGTCCTGCAGGATAATGGTAATCTACCCATTGTCCATTGTCTCTTCCATTATAGAAATTGTGGAGGTAATTCTCACATGTTAAGAGACAGCAGGTCTCCTTTACAATCTCAAGAACTATCTCCAAAGGTCTGAAGTTGGCCCACTCTCCACTCACACCCTGCCTTTAGGAGAGTGTCCCCTCAACTGTACACAAGGCAATGGTAAATGGGCCAACTACAGATATAATCAGAAATATTAGCATTACATCTGATTCTTTTGCTTGGAAAGGACTTCCAGGCACTTATAAAATAGTCATAACCATTGAGTTACTGCTAAGCATGGAAATCAGCTAAAGCAAATTAATGGAGTACAAATCTTTATAATCAACTCTTAGAATCAAAAAAACCCATTCAATCTCTCCGTCTCTTTAGCTCTCAATGGCCAGCTATTGGCTCAACTGTTTAGAAAAATGGTAAGTGCAGTTTCAAGGTCACCTTGGTCTAAAGTATGGTCTCTGGAATTGGAAACTCAGAAGTCCAAATTCCCATTGACAATCCACAGCTTTTTCACCCAAATGTGGTCCTTGCAGGGCCCCCAACAGTTTCTAGTTACAGGAGTCCTGCATCAAGATAACTCCATCTACTGATATAGAATATTTTA